TGTGGGTATATATGTGGTATGTGTGTGAATATGTGTGTATGTATGTGGTATGTATTGTGTGTGTGTTATGTCTGTATGCATTCTGTGTGTTGTTTCTGTATGTGTGTGTGTTGTGTGTGTTATGTGTGTGGTTTGTGTGTGTGTGATGTGTGTGTATGTGTGTGGTGTGTATATGTATATATGGTGTGTGTTTATGTGGTATGTGTGTGTTTATGTGTGTATTTGTGTGGTATGTATGTATATTATGTGTGTGTGTAATACAAAATAAATAATGCATGAACGTTCTTCTGCTTGTCGAGGAGGTTGGCTGTGTCCAAGCCAGCAGACAATGGGCTATGAAACCTATCTAAAAGTGTATGGTCTTGAAATTGAAGGGCTTAGCCACGCTGGGTATGATCACTCTTTATAGTACTTTTCTCTGTTGCACTGTTGTTCTATTCTCTAAGCCCTTGAAAAGGCTCTGTTCACACTAATCTCTGGACCATGAGGGCTACATGAAAATTGCAGTAACAGCAAGAAAAGCGCTGCATCTGAGAAAGGAGCTGTCCATTATTGGGGTGATGGGTCCAGTTCTGGCTGGTGGGTCTGGGATCTTCTATTCCTAAAGAAGCCAGTAGCTTGTACTTATATTTGAAATCTCATAACTTTTTATCAGTTCTGGACAACTAATCGTTGAAAACAAGCATGTGGATCCAAAGGGACCAGACATCGTATAGACTGTCTGGAAGCCAGCCTGAGGCGACTGATCTAGATGTCTGTGTCATTTTATATATCCAGTCTAGTTTCCCTCCAGAAACATTGACTGAACGTATTATTCAGAGCAGCAGTCATTGATCAACAGAATGGAAATACTAAAATTAAAAGCTAAAGTTCTTCCATTGGGTGGGGCAGGTTACAACTTGTGCCAGATGTTCTGGAAAATTGATCCTTGACCTGCAGCAACAATGCCAGCTGGGAATTTCTCAGAAATACAGTTTCTTAGATACACTTCATTCTCACTGTTTTTATAAATCTTCATTTCAACAAACCTGAAGGCAGTTCTAATGTCTGCTGAAGTTGGATCACTGGGTCTGGAAGGGAAATGAAGTGAAACACAGGCAGACATTTATGGGATGTACAAAGCTACACCTCAAGCTGATGAGTAGGGGTCAGTCTGCGGAAGACTTAGGAGGGGCCTCTTGGAGAGAGCACGTGAAGCGTGTAAAATCGACAGATGCTGTAGGAATTATGACCATGATCGTTTGGACATGCACTGCAAACACCAATGTGCCTCAGGCTTTGTGCTTAGGGTGGCACTCCTGGGGAGGGTGAGACCTTTAAGGTGGAGCCTATTGGCCAGCCTTCAGTCTTTGGAGGCATGCTCTTGAAGGAGTGTGGGTTCCAGGCTCCTTCCACATCCTTCTTGGTAATGAGGTGACTTAACTGTGCTTTACCAAGATCTCATGCCAATACCACTTGTCAATAGAGGCCCTAAAGCAATGGGCCCACTGGATTGTGGGCTTGTAAATGAATCACCTCAGGCAGTTGTTATAGTGACAGAAATCTGAGGAACACTGCAGTGGAAGATGAAGTGAGTGCCAGGGCCCTGACTCCAGGCTAAGTGAGTTGAATCATATATTGTAGGCTCTCACTAGAAACCATTCAGCAGGGGAGCATGGTATCTGCACTGCATGGAGGACAGTCATTCTGGGCTGTCGCATTTTTGGGTAGAAGCTACTCTCTTGGTAACTTGATGACCTAGATTTTGATGCCTGCCTCTCTCAGTATAATTTGGATCTGGGTCAGCAATCCCTATCCTTGGCTAGGGTAGCTAGGAACCAAGTCCCAAGACCTGGTCTGAAATAGCAGCCCTGAGAGAATGCGCCTTCCTAAGGCCAGCAGTTAGGGTGAGCTCATGCTGCTCATGCAGCTCAAAGATTGCTCTTCCAGCAATCTTTGTTACGTATCCCATAAGTTTCTGATGGTTTGTTTGTTTGTTTGTTTTGGGTAGGGGGTGGTGGTGGTGAAAAACTTTGTCCTATCTTTTTAGAATCTAAAGAGGAAACACTTTGAACTCAAGAGCTGGAGAAGCACATAACTAGAAAACTAGCCAACTCCTCCTTTCTTCTCCCCCCAGCCCCTCTTCTTGATACAACATGAATTTTCTTCTAGAAAGCTCTAGAGAATTGGCTAAGTTTTCCAAGCGCTTATCAAACCAATGCTCTTTATGTCTAGCGCCAATCAGATTCATGTGAGGGGCTGAAGTGTGGCCGGAGGCCTCCAGCTGTTAGGCTGCTGCCCTGCCCTGCCCTGCCCTGCCCTGCCCTGCCCTGCCCTGCCCTGCCGCAGGCCTGCTTTGCCTGGAGGGAGTGCAAACTATGCTCAATAGTGGCTTTAACAGAAACATTAGAAGACAAAAGAAATATAGAATGCCCTCTTCGAGGTGAGACTCTTTCTGTTAAAATGTCCTTGGTGTGGATGTTGTTCAGTTCCGATCCTGGAAATCTGTGATATTTGTGGGATAGCACCACCCCCTGCTGGTCATTTTGTATAATGCTGCAAAAGTGGAAACACCACGGGCTGACTCCAAAGCCAGAAACGCAGAGGGTGAGGCTGAATGGACAAATGCTGTGAACTTTAAATTGTGTACCTATGAGAAATATGTGACTCCTTTCACCACTTGCAGAATAACGCTGTAAGTTATGTCCTGCTATGTCAAGTTCATATGCAGCAATGATTCCATTAGTAATCTCTTCTGCCTGCTATTGGTGTTGTGTTTTTTTTTTTTTTTTTTCTAATCTAGAAGAACAGGATTTTCTTGTTAGTTGGGCTGTTTTCCATTCAAGCAGATTACAAATATTTATGTCTGTCTTTCGTGGATATACGAAACAACACATATCAATCTTAATGGGAATAAAAAGGGTATTTAAATTCAGCGATGGCTGGAAGATGGCTCAGTCTGTACCTGCAGTGCAACCATGCATGAGCGCTTGAGACTGAGTCCCTAGAACCCACAGAAAAGCTAGAACACAGGAGCCTCAGTGATCCCAGTGCACCTATGAGGAGAGAAGACACAGAAGAGTCCCAGGAGCTCGGGGGCCAGCTCTCTTGGCCTATACAGTGGGAAAACAGCAGAGTCCTTCCTCAAACAAGGTGGAGGGAGAGGAACGTCCTCTGTCCTCACACGGGCACTGTGGCATGTGTGATGCCTCCTTCACACATAGATACTTGCGTGTACGTACTCACACAGTGTAACACGTGCGTGCACACACACTTTAAAAATAAAGCAAGAAGGCCAGTGAAACTCCTGCATTTACAGTTCAGTAGATACCATAGTTTGGTCTGGAGTGATAGGGATATAAATTGTAGACTTAGTGACTGTGTATTCTCATGCACTTGGTTACAAACTATGGAGAGGGGGTGGAGAAGGTAAAGCCACCCTTGGAACTTCCTGTCCCGGATTTTCTAGAGACATTTTCTGAATGGCTTCTCTAAGCCTCCTTTTGTGGACTCTCCTATTTGTTAACATCTGAATTTAATGTCAGGCTTAACATGGTCTTATGAGGGGCCTATCTTGGATTTGCTTCCTTGGGTCTGAGAACATGCTCTGTATTAGCGGCTCGGCAAGGATTAACGTGTTGGAGGTCAGCACTTTAAAGGAAGCTTGAGGTGCAGGATGGCCAGTTGTGTGGAATCTGTTAGATGTAATCCAGTTAACCTCTCCAAACCTGGTAGGCTGAAGTTGTACTAGTTCTTGCCAGCTTTATTCAGATATTTTGATGAAGGTGGCTGACACATTTATCCTAATTTAGGTGTTGATGAAGCCTTAAAAACTCAGAAAAAGAAGGTTGTTTTTTCCCACTTATGACTCAGTCAGTAATAATACCGGCATACTCTGTAGCATTTGTGCCTTGTTCTTTTTTAAAATTACATTTTAAAAATGACTAATTTTTGTACATTATATTTTGATCATATTTGTTTCTCCAAAGTCCTTCCCAACTCTCTAAAACTAACTTCATGTTCTCTCTTTCTCTCTCTCTCTGTCACACACACACACACACACACACACACACACACACACACACACACCAAAACAAAACAAAACCTAAAGGGACAAAGAAAAAAATCAAACCAAACCAACCAACCAACCAACCAACCAACCAACCAACCAACCAACCAACCAACCAACCATCCAACCAACCAAAGAAGCATACACAACCCCCGGAGCTTGTTTTGTTTCCGTTATCTACTCAGGAGGCCTGCCCTGGAGTAGGACTGATATATCCAGTATTCTTCATTATAGAAGAATATGATTTTTCTCCTGACAGGCACCACATGTAAATAGTTTCTTGGTTAGGGGTGGGACCTTGTGTCTACTTTTCCTTCTATTGGCTGGGCATTTGCCTGTCTGGAATTTGCAGGTCTTGTGCATGCTGTCATAGTCTCTGTGTGTTCATGTGTGCAGTAGCACTGTTACGTCTGAAAGATGCTTTTTTTCTTGCAGTTATCCACCACCTCTTACCATCTTTCTGTCTCTGCTTCCACATAGATCCCTCGAGGGATGGGGTTTGATGAAGGCATCCCATTTAGGGCTGAGTGCTCCAAGGTCTCTCACTGTGTGCATATTGTCTTGTTGTGGGTCTCTTTGTTAGTGAACATTTACTGCAAGACCAAGCTTCTCAGATGAGCTTTGAGTGGTAAGTTGATATATGGTTATAACATATGTCATTAAGAGTCATTTAATTTCTCTGTTCATTTAGTAGAATACTACTGGTAGGTATCCCCCTAGGACCCATGACCTATCTAGTGTTCAGTTCTTGGCATCATTACTAGTGTCAGGTATGGATTATATCTCATGGAGTAGGCCTTATGACTGGTTGTTATTCCTATAACACTTGTACTCCTTTTGTATCACCATACCTTTCAGTCAAGTTGCTGTTGTAGGTTGGAGGTTTGTAGCTGGGTAATGTTAAAGACTGCTACTGCTTGTTCTCAACTGTGTCCTCTGTTTTTTCCCCTAGTTGCAAATGAAGCAGGAGATAAGAATGCGAGACCACTTGCCCGCTTCTCCCGTGAGTAAATCTTGCTTCACCCTTCCTGGGCTCCCCGAGAACATGTTTGCTAGAGGCCTTTATTCATGTGGTTCACCTCTATGATTCCACTAGTTGTTATTCAAACAGTAATGTAGGATATGTCTCTTGCTGGTTAACATCACATGTGGGCTCCTTCTGACCATGGGGCTTTCAGCACTCGGAACTGTGGTCTGCAGGCCGTGCTCTATGGCTTTGCTCTTTGAAGCCGTGCCTCCAGAGCAGTAGGATAAGTCTCACCTTTGCTTTTTGAGGGATGTAGAGCCTCCGGGATCCCACTTCACACCTCCTGAACCAAGGCCTACATTATAACTAATCTCTAGTTGATTGTTGTTCACAGTACAGTTTGAGATGAGTATCCTCGTAGTCCACTGCAGGAAGGGAGAAGTTGTGGTGGGAGGAAGCCTCTAGTCACTAGGCCTATCCACATATAAAGCATCATGGCACCCTGCTGCGGATTTGTGCCCTTACACCGCTGTCTTAGTGACAGCTTGCAGATCAAATGGATTGATCATTTTCTTTAGGTTCAGGAATAATCCTAAGGCTGTAGTCAGGATGCTGTTTCCCACCAAGTTTATCCAGAACTTGATCTTGGTATGAAAGTAGCCATCAAAAGCTTCTCAAAGGCCTGTGGTCTGGCTCCAGCTACACCACAGTGGCTGTCACTAAAGTCCATTACAAAGTCGCTGGGCAATTCCGGAGGTACTTGGAGAAGTTGGGGTACTGAACATGCTGACAAAAGTGTTGGTAGCCTTGGAGGAAGAACAGGAGAAGTCCACCAGTGCTCTGGCTTTTTGAAAGCATCACTTGCTTTCAAATGCTTTTTGAAAGCATCAGTTGCTGCCCCAGGAAACACAGAAATAGAGATGCTTCCCCTAAAATTGGCAGAAATGAAAGAGAAACATGAAGCTTCTGTAGAAGAAAATAAAAACTGAAAGCAAATCTTACACAGTAGGAGCCACCTCAGGAGAAGAAGCGTGCTGAATACGATTCTTCTCAGTTGAAAAGACGCCGAAAGTGGTTTCGTATCACTTGAATAGCTTGTATAGCTAGAATCTTTCCTGAAAAGATGCTACAAAGTTTTAATATGTTAAATTCACTCATCACACTTTAATGTTATAAACACATACACATAGAATCAGCAATAAAAACTCAATATAACTTTCTTAAAGAAGGAGAATCCAAAGTAGTTCTCAGAGAAAAGCTAAAGAGCCACATAACTTTTCACCTTAAAAGAATTTCATTTGGTGCTGGTTGTATTTTAGTTAGGAAATTTAGCATGGAGCTAGTCCTTAGTTTAGGACTTGAGCAGAGCAGGCATACTCATTCTTTATAGCACATATTTCCTGTAGACAGCTGGACATATCTGTGATGTATGATGCTTTTTCATGGGTTTCTATCCATCTTCTGCTCCTTTATATAATGTAGAACAATTAACTCTTCTTTGCCACCATTTTGCCTTAGATACCATTGTATGTGCCAGTATAAACTCTGATACCATGTTTTCTTTCTATGCAATCATGCCCATCTAATAATGCTGCCTTGCCACAGGGGTCTTTTCTGAGACTGATACTCCAACCAAGGAACATTCATGGAGATAACCTAGAACCCCTGCACAGATGTAGCTCATGGCAGTTCAGGGTCCAAGTGGGTTCCATAGTAATTGGAACAGGGACTGTCTCTGACATGAACCCAGTGGCTGGCTCTTCAATTACCTCCCCCTGAGGGGGGAGCAGCCTTACCAGGCCACAGAGGAAGACAATGCAGCCACTCCTTATGAGACCTGATAGACTAGGATCAGAAGGAAGGGGAGGAGGACCTCCCCCATCAGTGGACTTGGGGAGGGAGATGGGTGGAGAAGGGCAGGGAGGAGTGGAGGGAAGGAGCTACAGGGGGGATACAAAGTGAATAAACTGTAATTAATAAAAATTAAGAAAATAATGCTGCCTTGCTATGTGTGTGCTTTAGTGCATTCTGGTTGCTGGTGTTGTTTTCAGTTTGCTTAATGCTGCAGTCACCTTGTTTATCATTTACATAGCTTCCAAAGGATCACACTCTTACCACCTCTTCCTTCCTTCCCTAGTTGAGCACAGACGAGAGATAATATGAAATTCTGAGTTCATGCACAAGCTGGGATGGCAAAAGGGATGAGCAATTAAGTCACAGATGATTACAGTATGTAATTATATAGGGATTTCTTTCCCCTCAAAGCTATGCTTTGAGCCTTACACTCACTTTATTATCCCTGTGATGTAGGTGGGGTGAATAAAAAGGAGGCTGTGTGTTGAATTTTAGGCCAAAGACTGACATACAGATTTGTTGCTAACTGTAGAACCCTGGGCAGGTCAGTTAATGGCTTGGAGATTCACTTTCCTCACCTGTACCATGAAAACATTTGCTGCCTGCCTCACAGGGTTGTTGTGAGGTTACATGAGAGAATGTATATGAAAAATCTGTAAAATGGGAAAAAATATAAAAAAAAAAAAAAAAAAAAAAAGACTTCTCAAAGGCTTCCATGGACATGTGATCATTAAATCCCTCAGTAAATTCCACAGCAAGTTTGCGGATGCCCTGGAATGAATGAGTACGAGTAAAGCCAGGGAAGGGGGTGCTGGAGCCAGAACACGGGGGGGGGGGGTAGAGATGTTCTGAAACCTTCTATGCTTCAAGTTGAGAAATAGTTGTATCTTAGATAAGAATAGGTAGGGACCTCCTTTCCCTAACATTATTATTGCATTACTTGGTTTTTCTTAATTTTATTTATGTTTTTTTCTGAGCCCTGGACTTCCGATCAGAAAAATGAAAGTGACAGCATTTACAAAAATGTTGGCATCCCATCTCATCATTGTGTTACCCCACGTGGGGTTCACGAGATTGGAGGGTGACGTGACCAGAGTGATCGTAACACATTAAATTAAAAGATTTTTCTTTTTATAGAGATTCCTCTAACTCTGCCTTTTCACTCTTTTCAGAAAATTTCAGATTTTAGGGTTGATTTCCCAGAGATGGTTTTTATAGAGCTGTAATGATGTCTGCTAATGGCAGAGCACTAAGTGCTTGCATTGTAGACACTGCAATGAAAGCTCACTTTTCGTAGGACCTGTTTTTCACTGTCCTCCTACCTGGAACTATTATTTCCAAAGCAAGTGTTTCTGTAAGGGTGATGGATATGTCTTTATCCCTCTTATTTGTATTTTTCTTCTCTTGAGCAACAATTAAGGAGACAGATAATCGGAGTGGTAAATTGATTGTGCAGGATATACCTCGATGGGAGTTCCTGACACTTGTCACAGGTGTGGAAAGAGAAAAGGGGATCCTTGAACCATGTAGCCAGGAGACCTGAAGCAGTTAAGTCCCTTTATGGGCTAAAAGGGTGATTTCTCTTGTAGGCAACTTCTACAACTTCTAAGATATGTGACTGATTTGGAAGGATGACATGTCACATGACAGATAATTAGCTAAAGGCAAATGAGGATACCAGTGGGGAATATCTATACAAGAAACTTTTTTGGCAGCAATCTTGTGAGTTGAGGCCAAACTCAGAGAAGAAAAGGAAAATGTCTTGACAGAGTGCAATATCCTGGGAGAAAGTCAGAGGGCATGTTAGGTGCTGCCTCTTGTTGTAGCAAACACTAGAGAGAGGGGAAATTGGGTGGCATTTAGGAAGGGAAGAATATTCTTGATGCAACATGGTTGAATTGTCACTCTTAGTGTGCCATGCTGGAAAGCTGTAGGATGAAACATTCAGTATGGGAGGATGGGAGGACCTGGGTGATACTTTGGAGATGGGGAACTTTTCTTTAATAAGACAAGAATTTGTCTTTGACAGAGCTAGGTGGAAATCCCAGCTAGGGCATATTATCCAATGCAACGGCAAACAGGAGCCTTGCCTGTGAGGCCTGGACCAATCCAAAGGGACAGAGAAGCACTGGGGCAAGGAATAGGTCCTAGGAGACCTCAGATCCTATCTTCCCCATCATTTCAAACTCTGTCTTTGACTTTTGTTCAACCCAGCCTCAATCAGAGCATCTCCCTAGTAACTGTGGCTTATTATAAATAGTGCTGAGGTCATAGTTTTAGAGTGGCACCTGTCATGAGGGTAGCCATCTTGAGGCTGGAGCTTTATCACCATTACCCTGGCCCTTTGTTCTTCAGTATAGAGGGATCAGAAGGGTGGATGTGTAGAAAAAAGTAGCTTTAATCTTAAAAAAAACAAAAGCTCCTCCCCATATCAGGGAATAATGGCCACTTGTAATGTTCAGGCACAGCCACAGAGTGGCAGAACAAGACCAGACTGTCATGTGCTTCAGCAGTCCAGGAGCCCCAAGAGGCTACATGCTGCTTTGGACTAGTGCTGAGTCCGGGGCACTCAAGAGACATGCAGAGTACACAGTGGTCCCAAAGTTCACATTGTCAGACACTTATTCTACAGTTTATGTTGCTTCCCTAGAAAAGAGGAGAATGATTTCTCTCTGAGATGAGCAATCATAAAAAGAAAACAGTGATTTTTGGATTGGAGAGGTGGCTCAGTGAATAAGAGAGCATGGGTTGTCCTTCCAGAGGACCTGTGTTCATTCCTAGAACCCACGTAGTGGCTCAGACCTGTATGTAAACTCCAGTTCTAGGATGCCCTATGCCATCTTCTGGCCTCACACAGACATACATGCAGGCAAAACACCTTCAAACATGAAGTAATAATCAAAAGAGAAATGGTGGTTTCAGAAGCAGGGGGAGAAATTGAAGCCAGTTAGTAATGTGTTTACATTTGACACATCTTATTTGGGAGAGAAAAGTATAGATGTTAATAGAGATAGATCTTTTGTTGAGGAGCTAGGCTAATCAGGAGAGGTGGCTGGTGAAATTAGAGGAAACACGGAGGGTCTTTGCTGTGAATGAATAATCTCCTTCCCTGGCAGCAGTGTGTAGGAGAAGCAGCAGGGTGCGGTGGGGGTGAGCACTGGGGCAGGGTTGAGACAGAGACC